TCATAACTGCATTCCTGGGAATCCCACGGGGTGTTTGTGTTGTTGTCACTGTGAGCGGGGACCGCTGATCTCATTATGTTTTCCGACCAGCTGTCACGGATACAGATGAGAATTACTGACTTGTGTATGTCTGTTCAATATCCAGCTCACTACTTCCACCAAGTTCTCCAGTGACCACTTCAGTGGCTTCTTGGTTTCCTCAGGCCTCCAATCAGGCTGCCAGCAAATGATTACAATCCTTTCCCAGAGACAGCACATTTAATTCTGTTTCATGTCTTATTGCTATGTCCAGGATTTCTGGACAATGATAAAGGGCTCTGTTGGTGGTGTTTTTGTTTTTTTTTTTTTTAAATAAAAGTTTTTGAACTCCCAGGAATTTGAAAAATCTCATCATTTAGCACGGTCCTGGCTGTGAAGTTGGGACACAGTTTCTTTACCGGGATGAGAAACCATCCCCGGTTCCATTTTTAGCATTTCCTTTAAGATCGGAAACCAGAGCTAGATTCTGTCAGATGCTTCTTGTCATTTCTCAACAGGGTCCCGCAGCCAACCTGTTGAGGTTGTTATGTATTATATTAACAGGTTTCCCCACTATTAAGCCATCTCTGAATTCTTCTGATAGATCCTACCTAATCACAGTGCATGACCTAACATTCTGGGAAACGGGATCTGTGTGTATCTCACCGAGGATTTCTGATCCCATCCCCAGGGGCAAGATCTGGGTGAGGTCTCGTTTCTGTAGGTGTTCACAGTCTGGGGTTTGGGGCTGTTTCACCCTCTCTCACCGGGGTGACTTCCTGCAGATGGCAGCTGCCCGCTCCAGTGAGACTCCGGGTCTCTGAGCTCGGGGCCCCTCCATGGCGAACGTGTTCCCAAAGCCATGTGGGCAAACACCACGGACCACTCCGTCAAGTGACTGTCACTCTGAGTTCGTTGTTTGTACGTTCCAGATTTTCATGATTCGGGGTTGGCTCCAGGCCGGTACACGGCAGGGAAATGTGCTGGGAAAGTGGACACCAGCCTGAGGGAGGTCAGGACTGTGACACCACCCACCGAGAGGACCCTGCAGGGCCTCCTGGTCTGTGTTCCTTGTCACCCACGTGCAGACGGATGGACATCACGTTGGGCATCAGGGGCACGGGAAACACAAAATAAGGGAAGGCCTGGACCCTCTCAGAAAGTCCACTCTGAGGAGAAAACCCACAGAAGTGAGGGGCTTGGCAGGAAGGACACCCCTGAAAGATGGTACCATCTCCCTGTCCGCCTGCCACGCTGGGACCCTGACCTACCCCTGCACGGGATGTCTGTCTCTGCATCCCTTGAATCTGGTGGTCCTGGCCACACTGGCCACCAGCGCTGCCAGAATTGAGCCCTATCTGTCCCAGGCATGGCCCTCGGCCACTGACACGTGGACAGAGCCGCCGCCACCAAAAGCCACGAGCTTTGGCGTGGTTACATGGCAGCAGACAGTGACACAATGCTGAGCGTCAGGGGAGCGCGAGCAGGACAGCAACAGGGAGCGGGAGAGCCCCCCCCCCCAACCCATCACAGGGAGCTCCTCACCCTCACAGTCCGGGGGGGGGGGCGGCTTCTGCAGTGTGTGGGTCAAGGAAGGCCCGTCCATGCCCACTCCCCTGGGTGGCAGCCTGGACGACGGGGTTTCTGACCCGTGTGTGACTCAGGCCCTGGTGCTCTCCAGGCCAGCGGGTTTGTGCAGATGCCTTCACTTCCGAGGCTCAGTTTACCTCCCTGACAAATGGGGCCATGGGCCCCTGCTCACAGGTAAACGCAGCCACGTCTGGGAACGGCCAGGACCCAGTGTGGCAGGTGTCCCCGGAAGCGGAGGCTCATGGGATGCAAACCATCTGCCCCCAGACCCCTTAGACTTTCTCAGCTGCATCTTGTCTCCTCTGGGAAGTGGGAACAGTACACGGAGCCCACAGGTTCACCAAGGGGCCTGTGCAAGACATGTGTGTTCGTGCACCATGCCACACCCAACGGGGCCGTGTGAGGCTCTGGCTGCCGCCAGGATGTGGGGACAGGGCTGAAGAAGAGCTGATGCAAAGTCCAGGGGGTGCAGGCAGGCCTGGGCAGCTGGAGGGTTGGGTGGCCCCTTTCCCAGGGGATGGGCTGCAGTCGGCCCACAGCTGTCCCTCTGAGGCCCCGCCAGCTCTCGGAGTCCATAAAAAAATCAATCTAATGACACAGCAAACATTAATTAGAGCCGTGAGACCAGGAACGGGATTGATCTGGAAGGGGCCGCTCTGCTGTTAGTCATCGAAACGCTCTGCGGGGGTGGGGAGGGGCCGGGGCTCGGGGACAGGGGCCACGGAGGCGACCAGAGACTGCCCCCCAACATCAGGCTGACGGCAGGGGAGTGGAGGCTGCTGGGGGGCCCAGCCAGGGGTCAGGGCCCCGGAAAGCTCAGGGTGGGGAAGGACCAAGCCGGACCCCTCAGCTCTCCTTGCTGTGCGAAGAGCAGAGCTCCCAAGTGCAAGGAGCTGAGCATGAACCCTCGCATGCACAGCCGGAGCCCCCTGCCAGACGGCACTGGGGAAGGGACTGCACTCAGCCAGCTGGACGAGGACATGAAAGGAAGTCCCGGTGGGAGCTGGGCAGCCAGCGGCACAGCCTCTGACCCATGGAGGGACACAGACATATTTTAAGAACATGTAGAACATGTCCCGTGTCCCCTGGGGAGGGGGCACCTGGCAGCCCCCCGCCCCTCCTCTAGGTGGGGAACACAGGCTCCATTCTCCCTGATGCTATCCCCCCAGCAGCACACTGGTCTGTGTTCTGGGGGGTGGGGCGTTTGGGAGAAGAGGTGCTCGGGGACCCTTCCCAGGTGAGAAGTGACCGCAGACGCCCTCGGATGGCGGGCTCCCCTCTCCCACAGTCCCACCCATGTTCCTGAGGTCCAGGGGTGCTGGGGACCACCATGTGGGGCCGGCGACGGCTCCGGCCAGGCCTCACCCTGTGTGTGTGGCTGGGGAGGGGGACTGGAGCGCGTCTGGCTGTGCCATGCCTCCCAGCATATGTCTGAGCAAGAAATCCAACGAGGTCCATATGCCGCTGTTCTAAATAGAGCCTCTCATGGAGCCTTCAAAGGGCCAAGGTCAGTGAAACTGGAAGCCGGGAAGCGTGGTGGGCAGGGGGCTGGGCTGAGACGTTGACCCGGGTCCCCCTCCCAGGCAGCTTCGAGGTGAGGGTCTGGGAGGTCTGTATTGAGCGCCCTGAGACCCACAGGGAGGAAGTGTGTATGGCGACCGCACGTGTGTGTCCCCAGAGTGCGACCCCGCAGCCCTGGGCCCTCTGCCTGCCCCCACCGCACCTCACGTGCACACACCCGCACGCACACACGGGTGTCTAATTATTGTCTCGCGGCGGGCAGGAGTCCGACCGCCGGAGCAGCTGGAGGACATTCAATTCTCGGAGTAATTGACAGTGCTGGAAAGCACCCAAGTGGGGTGTGAGGACGCGCTCCCCTCAGCGACTCGATCCTTCATCGCCAAGCACATTACTGCCTCGGTTCACACTGCCTCCGCCCCCTCACCGCCTGCCCGCCTGGCTCTGGGCCTCCGTCTGTCGGCCGGCCGTCTGTCACCTGAGATGCCACCGGCCACTGGCCTTGCCTCTGTGCGTGGAGGGAGCTGCTTTCCCCCCTGGCCGCCCGCACCCTGCCCCCCCAGTATCAGGCCCCGGGGACGGCTACAGGGGTGGGGACTTCAGGGAAGGGCTCTGGGACATAGTGTTGGGACTCCAGGGGTCACCACCCCAGTCCCTGGACTGCCCAGCAGGTGCTAGGAGGCCAGGGGCACCTGCCCCTACTCGCTCCTCCCCAAAGGCTCCTAGAGGACAGTGTGACATTCATGGGGACCAAGCCTCCCACAGGGGATAGGGCCAGTTATCAGGCATGCACAAGACAGGGCAGTGCCTGGGTGGCAGAGTGACCACACACCCAGAGTGACCGCAGAGTCGGGGGAGGTGCAGAACACATCCAGGGGCTGGGGGGCACCCACAGGGCTATCTGGGGAGGTCTCCGGGCTCTGTCCTCATCCGTGTGAGCAGCAGCCTGGGTGAACTCTGAGAACCTGTAGGAAGGGGACGGAGGCTGGAGGCCAGGACCGGGAGCCAAGCACTCCCTCCAGCTTGACGAATACCACAGGGCAAAAACCATGCCAGGAAGGGGTCAGCATGGCTCCACATCACCTCTGGGGAAGAGAATGAAGCGAGAGCCGGTTGGACAGGTCAATGTGGCCACCTGAGAAGGTAACTGGCTGACTTAATAGAGATATAGCAGGGAGAACAGAGAAGGTGATGACCCGGCTCTAGGCAGCACGGCTCAGCCTGTGCTCAGAGCGTCTGGCTCCAGACTCCAAGGAACATGACCAGAGCCCACACTCCTATAGCACCTTCTAGGAGCTAAACTCTCGTCTATCAAACTATTTAGTACTGGGGCCAGTCCTGTGAAGCAGGAACTAGTACTACCCACCTAACCAAAGAGGCACAAAGTTGTTAATGAACTTGGTTGAGTTTCCACAGCTGCTTAGTCATGGGGCAGGATTGAAACCCAGGCACCTTGGCCCCAGAGCCCCAGTACCTACCCACACGTCATGCAGCCAACAGGCCCAGGAGGGCGCGTCTGAAAGTGACGGAGCTGGCGGAGCACGGACGTGAAGGCAGGACGGAGGGTGTGGGGGTGTCTGGCTGAGAGGCCACCTGCAGAGGAGGGCCCCCCAGGCCCTGGGGTGGACCCATTCACCCTCCCAGAGAGTTCCCTGAGTCTGCTCACCAAGGTTTAACACACGCGGCCTCACTGGGAAACATCTAGGCGGCATTGCACAAAGATCAAGACGTACGGAGCCCATGAGCCCAATTTTGGTGTGTTTTACCACAATGGAAAGTTCAGAAAGAAAGGTGGCGGGTGGGGATGGTCTGAGAGGGGCACACAGAGGCTCTGGCAGGGGTGGGGGGGGGGCGAGGAACACTGGAACACCCACCTTCTCGCACCCCTTCAGGGCTTCCCTAGGTCCCGGGCAGCGTGCGGGGACTGACACTCAGCTGGAGGGGACGGCGTTCGGGTTCTCAGGGTATCTCTCTTCACACCTTTAGCTGTATTAAATATTTCATAATTAGTGAAATATTTATTTGAGAGTTCTTAAATCTTTGAAACGTCTGCAATATTTTATAATACATTTTTAAATGTTTTGGAAAGGAATGGGCTGCTGTGTGCGACTGAGCTCCCTGTCGCCAGAGGTGTGCAAGGAGAGGCTGGATGTCAGAGAGGGCACTGCCCCCAGCAGGGAGGTGCCTAGAACCAGGAGAACGGTCAGCATCACTCGTGAGCCTTTACAAAACAGAGACTTCCGGGACCCATCTCTACTCCTGATTCGACAGGTCCAGTGTAGGGTCTGGGTGTCTGCGTTTGTGCCATGGGCCACGTGCCCTCTGCCCTGGTTGGGACACAGATTCTGGCTCATGCTTTGTTTTCTCTGGCCTTGAGGACCAAGCCCAGGCTCCTCGGCCCCTCACTAGGCTGAACACAAGGTGGGGGTACCAGCCCCTGAAGCTGCAGGCCTGGGGCCTTCGGCAAGGTGTGCATGGCCCCCCTTGCAGAGACGGGAGCACTGAGGACCAGAGAGGGGAAGAAAGAGCCTGAGGGTCACAGGAGAGGAGAGAGGGGAAACAGATCTTCTCCTTTCTGTTCCAGGGCTGCCCTGGTCATGGGTGTCCCCCGTCCTGGTCGTCAGAGCACTAATGTTGACCCGTGGTGTCTGGAGACAGTCCCTCCCTCACAGCCCTCCTGAAACCTGAGCCCCTCCTGCCTCTGACCAGGCGCAGAGGAAAGGTTGGACGGATGGAGCTTGGCAGGTGTGTAACTTGGCGCCCAGCAAACAGGCAAGCTGACTGATGGCCCTGAGCTCTGGCCTTTCTTCATCTGATGGTGTTGAAAGCGGCTGTGTGCCCGGCCCAGGCCAGGGCTGGGCAGCGGCAGACGGGGGTGGCCACGAAGCCGGGTGCCTAAGGAACCACATTGAGAGAACCTCCCAACATTGGCCTCAGCCTTGTGAGGGTGTGCACTCAGGCCCCGAGAAGGAAAGGCATTTTCCCCAGGTCACACAGAAGATTGTGGCACAACCAGGACAAAGGCTTTGTTTGCTCTCCTGAGCCCTCTCTAGCCCTCCCGCAGCCCCAGGGCATTGGGGCTGTGCCATAGCCCAGGGCTGGGGGTTTGGGGAGTGGGAGGAGGCTGCCCCCATCTGCCTGCCACTCTAGTACCCACAGGGGCCTTGGAGCAGCGGGGTCAAGTGCCCAGGTTGGCAGACAGAGATGCCACCTGGCTGGTGACGGCCTCGTGGGAGGCCCACAGTGGCCCCGCAGGGCTGGGAGTCTGTTACAGGAACGGCGGCTTCCCGCCACGGAGTTCTGACTTTACCAGCGCCGTCGCACATTTCTGTAAACGTTAGCACACACGCAGCATCGCGAAGGAGCGGAGAAGCGTGCACGTCCTCGCTCTGCTGAGGAGAAAACAGGTGGAAGCTGTGGGGAGGCCAGGCCGGGAGAGTGGGTGGGACAGCCCCGGGGCCACCGGAGAAAGCGTGGCTGAGCGAACTCGGTATTTAGCTGCGGTTGATTCCCGTAATAACGAAGCAACGTTCGCACGGTATGATCAAAATAACCATACCAACCCATCCCATGAAGAGAGACCCAAGTACGAAGACAGGAAGGAGGCTCAGGGGAGGAGGAGAGCCAGTCCCGCCGGGAAGGGAGAGGTGGTCTCAAGGGCCCGCGGGGACCAGGAGCAGGAAGGGGCTTTGAGGGACTCGGGGTCAGAACCCCACGCTACCAGTCCTGCCACACAAGGCTGGGACAAAGGGCCATCTGGTCTACCCCCTGTCCCCACGCCCAGGTCGGGCTGGGCTGCTGAAGATGGTCCAGTGCCCCTTCTGGAGGCCGGACAGGCCTCCCTCCCCACCCGGCCCCCGGCACGGACAAGGGGCTTGACGTAATCCGCAAGGCCTCTGGGGAAATGAAAAGCAGGAGGAGGAAGCCCACGGACCAGGCTAGAGAATTCACCTCCCCCCACCTTGGTTCTGCCTTCTTCTTCCCAAAAGAGGTAATGCGTAGAGGCTTTGTCCAGGCGGGGGGGCCAGGTTCGGGGATGCGGGCTTCCTCCTGAGGAGGACAGCAGGTGTGCCGTGGGGTTGAAAAGGAGAGGTGTCGGGCCAGGCTGGGCTCACAAGGGAAAGCATGCTGGGATGCTGTGGACTGGGCTGGGGCCGGGACAGAGGTGGGGGTGGCCAGAGCCCGCCAGGGCCAGGCTGCAGGAGCCATGGGCCTCCCCAGGGATGTCCTCCTTGCTGGACCACAGTGCCCATCCCTCCACTGTCCGAGGCGAGCCCTCTGGGCCCTGCTATGTCCTTGGCTCTCAAGACAGCTCTGTATACATGTCAGCTGCCCTGGGAAGAGCACGTCCCCACAGGCTCCATGTCGGCAGTCCCTCATTCTGCGGACCCGCTGGATGACTGACCACGCCACTCTGGGGCTCCCCGATCGTGTACCCACACCATGGGGGCTGCAGCTCTGCCCTGCCCATTCAGAGTCCACACCTGGCGAGCGGGTCCCTGCCATGAGCCAGAGGCAGGGCTAATGGGCTGCAGAGGGACGCCCAAGTTTCAACCAGTATGTGGGTCAGCCGGGGACGCAGCCTGGTCTTGTGGGCCCAGGAGGGCTCCCCCAGAGAGCTGACATTTCTGCAGAGACTTGAACAGAGAAAGACCAACCCTACAAAGGCAGTGGGGGAGACAGGGCAGGGGAAGGGCCAAGGAGGCTGGAAGAGCCAGAAGGGTGGGGGTGAAAAGACCCATGAGGCTGCTGGGAGCCTTGATCTCACCCCAGCGCCCCTGCCGGAGACAGGATGTTATCTCAGGGGTAATAGGGAGCCACTGAAGCTTTGGCACAGAGGACGAATGACGACTCTGGCTGTCGATGGAAAAGGGACTGTTGCAGGACAACCGTGGGTGTGCAGGGAATCGAGCAGAAGCATCTGCAGTCGGTGGGAGAGGGGGCAGGAGCCCGGTCAGTGAGGGGCAAGGGAGGGATGTGGGCGGAGCCAAGAGGCAGAGATACGCCTGACAGAGCACATGGGAGTCCAGGGTGTACACAGCAGCCGCACTTGGGATAGCCCCAAACCGGACGTTACCCAAACACTCGTCCATAGGCAGACACATAGCTCCCAGCGGTGCAGCCATGACAAAAAGCTATCACGCAGCCACAGAGATGCACAAGCCGTCCTGACACAGCGACATGGAGAAACCCTACCCTAGAGGGTGTGCAGACCACCCCAGGGAGCCGCTGATGCCCGGCCGTCGGTCTGGGAGCTGGGGACATGGGTACATCTGGGTTATAAGAACTTCAGAGAGCCATGCTGATCTGGGGTTCCTCTGTCCCCATGGCCTGCATTGGGCAGAGAACCAGCGCTGTCTGCATGGGGACGTAGCTGACCCCAGACCCCAAGGCAGGACAACGGATGCAGCATGAGAAGGGGCAGGAACTTCGGGGACACCAGCTTCTAAGGGGGCACATGAGAGGAAGCATGTCAAGGCAGGAGAAATGCGGATGCCAGGAGCAGAGAAGGGGCTGTTTCGAGTTAGAAGGTGTGGTCTGTGACCCTGAACCGTGAGTCTGCAGGGACCCTGCAGAATAACCGGAAGCTGTCATGGCTGTGGCCCATCCCACATGTGGGCTGGCATCATGATGCATTCTCATGGGTAGCAGGTGCGTGTCCACTGTGCTGACACCGGCCACAACACACACAGCCCAGCTATGAAGGGCTCCAACGGTACGCACACGGGACAGGTGCAGGGGTCCTGTCCTAGCCACACACGGAGGAGGGACTGCGGACAAGACCAGGGTGGACGGGACTGGGGAAGGGAGCTATCTCTGAGCCACAGACATCCGCCCGGACACATGTGTCCACACCAGACCCTGGATGCAGAAAGGGGCACTAGAGGGGGTCAGGGCTACCTGACCAGGTACTGCTGGTGGGGAGCTCACCTCCGGGGCGTGGCAAGGAGGGACGGGTGGCACTCAGCTTGCTGACACTGCGCGGGTGGTCAGGACCCTGGACACCTCAGGCCCGCCTAGATGCTCCCGGAGGCAAAAATGGGGAAGGCCAACCCTGGCGGACTCAAAAGAGCTCAAACCCAGACTCAGAAAGGCAGAGATGCTCAGGAGGAGACATGACAGCCTGCCCGAGGCCCTCCTGTCAGGGGGTGGGGGCTGTGTCCCAGGCCCCACCTGGAATAGTGGAGATGCGGGAAGCCCTGTTGCTCCAAGCCTGGTCTGCACTCATGGTCCTGTCTTGGGGCAGGAGGGTCGGCGCCCCCCACCGAGCCTCATCCCCATCCAGAACTAGGCTTGTGGGAGCACACAGTAGGACAGCAGCACAGGCCCTGCCCCCACCTGCCTTCCCCAGGAGACTCAGAGCAGCCGCTGGCAAGCCCAGAAGAGCTGCCCGTCGACGTACACACCGCATTTCAGGGCCCAGCGCCAAGCGGCCAGGCTGGGGACATCCGTGTGCCAGGGCGAGGGCCAGCCTGGAGCAGAGTCCCTGCAGGCGGCTCTGTGTACCCTCTTCCCCATCAGAGAGCCCAGATACTTCCGCAAGGTGGGCGCATGTCAGACCCCCCCAGGCACATGCCTTGGGCAGGACTCACAACCTCCCTCCACCTGCAGACCTTGGGGTAGTTATTCAGGGCCCCTGGACCAGAAGGCCCAGTACTGGAGGTGGTGCAGAGTCTTCTGGACTAGGATGGAGAGCCTGTGCAGAGTAGGTGCTCAGGAAGGGAGACCTCCCCCAGCCCAATACGTCCTCCCCGCCTCATCCTGGCAGAGAAGCCTTGCCAGAGCTCTGGGCCACGTCCCTCCGTATCAGATCATTACTGTGAGAAACAGCCCTGTCTGCTCGTTTCCTCTGGGCTGCTCCAAGCCTCTCTCCCCCCACCAGCTCCCCTCCTCTCCCATCACTCGCCTGCTCCAAGCCTCTCCCACCAGCTCCCCACCTCTCCCATCGCTGGTCTGCTCCAAACCTCTCCCCACACTGGGCTCTC